ACATTCTGTAAACCTGGTGATATTTATTTAGATGCACACAATACTACTATTTTAAAAAATGCCTACATAACACTCTAAAAGAAGAAATTTGCAGAGGGTTTCTTTCTACTCTGAAAAAGTAAGAATGACTGATAGGTTCTTGCTCCAAAATAATCAGTGTTAACACTGTTCTCAAAGAGAACAGTTTTCGAGACACTGATGCATCACATTTAACTATATGACATGAAATCATATTCCACATAATTATCAATGCAGTATCTCACCGCAGCTGACAAATCATGAAAGAAAAATGCAAGAAAATGGAGAATAAAGGAGAAACAAAAGAAAGCACTTAAAACAAATTGGAAAAGTTAGCTTTGAAACCTTTGATTCAACTTTTCCCTACCCACACCATCTATCTAAAGGGGTTGAATTCATGTACTACAGACAGAACTAAGCAGCACTGCCCTGCCCAGACCAATCTCCCAAAGAGTTAAATGCAAGAGATGGTCAGAGCATTTCCTGAAGTCCAGGCACGCCTTTTCTTCTAATGAGATATGCTGAGTAAAATTAGCAAATTTCTTGCTCTTAAGTGACAGCAGCATTGCCAGCTCCCTGATACAGTAAATGTTTGAGCTCCAGTTCACCACTTTTCAGTCCTGAGTGTGTTTGAAGGAAGTGGGAAATGTGGGGAGAGGTCACAATTACACAGCAAGCAAAGAACATGGAAACATTAATATGCTAATGGACATCACTTGACTTAATGAAAATATGTATTTTAGTAAGAGCAGGGAATTGAAGCAATTTTTAGGTGATCTTGCTTCAAAACGGGGAAACGTTAGAGTATGTAACTTTCAAAAACAAAAGTTCTTCTGCAGTGGAAACAAAGGTGTATAGCACATCTGTCTCAAATTTTTCAAAAAAAACATTAGCCTGGCAGTTGTTTTAGCTATGCCTGTGTTCATGACGCGGAATATTTAGGAAAGAACCCTTAAAATACTCCCTAAACAAGACAAAATTTCAGAATATATATATGCAAAGGCAACCACTGCAGGCTTCTGACCTTCCTGGCACTGAACAGTGGTCTGTCATGGTAATTCTGTATTTTGTTACCTTACAAGCAGCTCCTCTCCTGGTTGTAATCCCATTAAAAATGCACAGTATAACCATACAGTGATAATTTAAGGAGGAAGACCGACAAAGCGAAACTGTGCAGAGCAAAAAGCAATTTCAGAAATATCATATAGATTACAAACAGCTTGATACAAGCAGCACAGTATGAGCAAACAGCCTGGAAGGGAAAATACCAAAGGGTGGGCTTGGCATGATGATTTATACTGAACTGAATAAAGGAGACCTGGGTTAAGCCTCAAAGCTTGAAATCTCACCCTGGGACTGGGGATTGTCAGAAGGATGAAGGGTCTGCTACATCATCCTCATTTAATGATGTAAATGTCACAAAAGGAGGTCTCTGAAGAAATTCAGCGTTACAGAGATGCCATGCTGCAGGCTAGCAAGTAAATCATAAGCAAGACGGTGGAAAGCACAGGGCTTTGGAACCACGTGGCTTCAGCATAAAGGTCATCCTTAGCAAAGCACAGCACTTAGTGAGAGTCTGGAAAACACCTAAAAAACATGTCAAAGCAAGTTACAAACTCCTGACTGAATCTGCTAAGACCCAATCACCTAAGTCCCTAATCAGATAAGTGAATAACTGGAATGGATTTATTCTTGTATCTTCAGATACAAATATTAAATAAGTTAAAAGAAATTACTATCTAAGAATCATCAAATAAGAAAGTACAATTAAAGCCTAAATAATATATTCATAAACCCAATGTAATAGCTGAAGGAAGCATATCAAGTATTGATACTGATATCCCTTCACACCAGGAGAAGGGAGAACAATTAGGCATGGCTGAGACTACCACTGCTTCAACAATCCTGTCAAACCAGCTCTTCATGGCAGAGGTTTGGTCAGTGTAGCAGATCTCACGCAATGGTGCTATACTGTTGTGAAAAGAAACCACACAGCAGTCAGGCAAGCTTCCTACAGGCTTTCCCAAACCACGCTCATTGGCTCCTTTCCTCTGCTCTCGTCCTTCTGTTTAGCTGATCGCTCTTGCCTGGCCTCCCACAGAACAGACACTGTCTGTGGGTCATTGCATCGATTGCTTTGCCTACTCCTACATACCTGATGGAAAGCTCTTATGGCCAGGACTGACTCACCTTGTGTCCCCCCCAACAATCCTCTGCTTCTGGGTTGACTGTTACGACATCCTTACGACAAACATAATACCTACTTTACTATTCCCCACACTTTTGCCTCTGGCACAACTGATATGAAGAAATTTGTTTTCCCAACACATAACTGGAGTAGCAGGATTAGGTTTGAATGAATTGTTCAGAAATATGGCAGCTTTGTTTCCCACACAAAACCCAATAATATTGTCTGAAAAACAGTTATGCTCCCAAGTAAGCCCTCACAACAAAAACATAATCTGCTCTTTTCATCTTGGAAAAGAGGGAAAAAGCTTCAGCTAATAGAAAAACAGAAAGAACCAATCAGATGAAGGTGGAGACATTTGTAGAGACATATACTGGCAAATTGTGCTCTTGCCAGGAAAATACTTTTCCACAAAGATGATGAACATTTGCTGTGTTCATAAATACTGCACAGCTGTGCTAAAACAGGAGAGCAAGCCCAACACTTCCATAACTTAATAAGAGTTTCTCTAGTGATTCACCAAAAATAATTAAACAAAATTAAAACATGGCCAAAATTAGCACCGCTAGCTATCATGAGCAAGAACTAAAGCAAATATTGACTAAAGCAAATAAAAGTCACAGTATAACATGATCTCCCACAAAAGAACTCTATAGATTATTCTACCTTGTATTCTGAGGGATTCTATCAAAAGCACTATTTCTCTACAACAACCATCACTGAAAATAACTTTTTGTATATGATACAAGTCCATAATGATCAGAGGGAAAAATGTCTGCAGATGGGATGTTTCTGGTATTTGCAGTAACAATGATGTTTTTCAATCATCATTTCCTCAACCCACAGGTGTTTCTGTCTTGTCTGACATCAGCCAAAAGATACAAAACAAGCCAGTGGCCTTTTTCTGTACATCCACTGAAAGCTCCTTTTTGCCAGCTAGAAAGATCATTTCTACAACACACAGAGCAGCCTTTCTACTCATTCTTAGCATCAAGCACTCCAGCAGACACCTTCTAAGGACAGCAAGATCCACTCCATATGGGGAAAAGAAGCTAAAATTACTCTGAAGCCTCCCACTAAAATATTTGGCATTTGGAAACAGGTAATGAAAATATTTCAGAGACTTACAGTAATCAGCAGTTTCTTTACTGACTTTAGTGTGCCCAAGATTTTATTCGTCATTTATTTTGTATTGTCTCAGTTTAAACAATGAACATGGTAGGTTCACTTTGAAGAATATCTTGCCCTCTATGTCCTAAAAGTTTAGGCAGATCTGTAGGAAGGGAACAGTTTGCATCTGAAACTTTCCATGATCTATAGAAGTGGATTACTGAGCTTCTGTGAACAGGGTGCTGTCATTTCTATCTTACTGCCACATCAAGTTAGGTGCTAAGGGACTATGCTGGCCAACAGGACATCTCACTCAGTTCCTCATTAGTAATGGAGAATTTTGAGACAGGGTTTCCTTTCCTCTCAAGCGAGATTCTTAGAAGAGAAATATCTCACAGGAATAAATGCCATAACCTTCCACATTACTGTAAGTTCACATCAGAATTAACAGTTTCATGGCTGCAGTTCTTGTCTGTTCTTTATTTATACAATTCACACTGTTACAACTACAATTACATACTAAACAGAAATAACAAAATTAGAATCTTTGGCTATCCAAGAAGAAGAGGACCAGTTACAGCAAAGAATTGAACGTACATTCTTCTAGGCTGTTCATACATTGATGACATCTGAGACTGTGCAAACCAAAATGTCTTCACAAAGATTAAGGAGCTATAGTAACCACTGCACAAATAGTAGTTACTGGGCGGCTCCAATACAAAATAACCTCCCAGCTCTGTCCTAACATAACATGAGTGCACAGGCCAAGGTTACTTCATCAGTTCAAATGACAAAAACGGGAAGGAAAAATCCACTTCTGTAAAATATGCGTTTGCAACTAAAATTCAAGTTCCAAGAGGTCATTGTCACATGGGAAGCTATAAAAACATTTAGTTTATCAGCAAATCTTTTCACAGATTGATAATCTGTTCTCTCCTCTGTAAAACACAAGGATTTAATCTGCTGTTGGAAAAATGAGTAAATAAAACAACTTTTTTTCTTTAAAGACCTGAGAGCAAGTAGCTTTTATTATAATACTAGGAGGACTTATATGTGACTACTGTCCTGAATGTCCAAATTCTTTTTAAAAAATACAATAAGAATTCTTCTCTATAAATTATGTATCAGATTTTTTGCAGTATTAAAAAACAAAGGTACTCCATATAAGCTGGGATCAAAGATTTACTAGGCTTTCCTAGCAATTTTTCTTAGTTGTGTTGTGCTCTTGAGGATGTATACTTGTATGTTGCTTGTTATTTATCTGGTCAATGGAATGTATAATTATTTTAGGAATCTCAGACACTAGCATTATATGCAAATCTTAATTACTGTCCACTCATTCAAGATAGATTTTGATTTTTTCTTACATGTATTATTGAAAACTTAGTGAACTACTTCTGATTTCAAAATAATTCAGAAAGTGCACTATGAATTTCAGAAGTGCTAGAAATTTTAAAAGTTCAGTAAAACATTTAAGAAAGGTAATTTTTAAGTGTATAAACAATGTAACTGCACAGTCTGTTGAGGTATGACCCACATTTAAAAGTAACTAAGAGGCACGTGCTGCTGTAAAAATTAAAAAATAAACCCAGTAACTCACACAAGCAAAAAAAACTCATTTTGTATACCTAGTAAAAGCTTTAAAGGTATGACATTATAATTTACATTTAAACATAGTACTTACGGTTGGCATAATTTTACCAGGTCCTGGTCAGTGGTGTTTGGAGGCAGTGCTCTGATGTAAAGGTTAGTTTTACTTAATTGATCCCATCCTGAGTTGCTGCTGCTACTACTGTTGTTATTACTGCTGGTGGTGCTGGGACTAGGAGGAGCCATTGGGTGGGCTGGTACAATGGACTGCTGCAAAGGAAAAAGCACGTTAGAGTAAACTATAGATAGCAATCACAGCATGCACATCACATCAGCTCAGCCTACAGTAACCTGTTTACCATTTGAAGCAATGTGTTAAATCTGTTTGTAATTACTCACAGATTTTAAATACAACTGCTTTCACACCACATTTGGGACAGGATTCCCAGGCACATTCTAATACACCCAACCACCATTTGATGCATTCTCAATGCATGGTGCAGGGTCAAATTATATATAACCTCCACTGAATATTACTCATAGGATTTTATCACTCTTCACTGTGTCATCTGATGTGAAAATGAAATAGGAGATATTGTTCCTCATGGTTCCAGCAGGTATAAAATTTATATCACTGTGACTGTATCGCATGTCAAATTGTGGCAGACACAATTACCATGCTCTTTCCTTAATCTACCCAAAAATACAAAAATAATTAGAAGCGTCTTTTCTATCTCTTCTGGCTTTTAGTATTTCATGCAATACTGCTATTTTATTTTTTTTTAAGATAGAGTCCTTAGGCACAGATAGCTTAAGGACCAGACTTTTAAGTTAATTGAGTGCCTTGGCAGAACTTTCATACTGCCACCAATTCTCCATATTTGTAGATTACTTCAAGATTGTCAAGAAAAAGATTCATTATAATGGTAAATATTTCAAGTTTCAATATGAGAAAACCACGGAAGTACTTCTACCTAGTCCTCAAGGTATCTAATGCTATTGCTCTTAAAATCAGACCCTAACGGAACATAAAAGCATCCTAGAGAAAAGCTGCAGTAGAGCAATCATTTGCATTAACAACAGTATAGCAATATGCTGTACAGAAAGTACTATGAACAGGTCCGTGGTGTTGTAAGGAAGGAATACTTTAACAAAACACTAGAGAACTACCGCTGCTGGTAAACGTCTTGTGACTACATGGTTTTCACTGCTGAGCTGGTTGCATGTGGCCCCTTTCCTGCAAAAGCCTGAGCTTCCATGGCTCAAGCAGCTCATAGAAAGAACCACTCTGTGAACTGCAGAGGAAAGGCACGGTACGGGGGAAAAATTCAAAGCGTAATATATAGTGAGATGTCAGTGTAGGTTCACTTGTTCCCGCCCTGGTGCCACCCTTTTCTTTGGATTAGTACAAACAGTCATACAGCCTCAGATTGAACCAAAAAATTATGTTCCCTGATCTGGTACACCACATGTCGCTTTGTGCTACGCAAAGGCTTCGGCTATCACAAGGCAGGGAGCAGGAATGTCAAGAGAGAGAGAGAAAGGAAAGCATTAGAGTTCACCTCTGTTTAAAGCACCCATGAAACTAAACTCTTAATACACAAGAGAAGCAAAACTATTTTAGACATAACCTCAGGAAACTGGAATGAAATTGTGAGGGGAAAACAGTACAAAGGCATGCCTTTTATCAGATATTTTATGATAATTTTGTGATTCTTTTTTGTGTTTCCCTAGGAAGGTTTCAAAATCTTCCAATTTGGTATATTACAAAGTTTATTATGCAGCTATAATGGCCTGGAACAGCCAACTGCAAAACTTGCTATAAAATCAACATTAATAAGTAGTAACATTGTTGTTGTCTAATTTAATTGAACTGAAAGTTACCAAAAAGAACTAAATACACTCTGGATCATATAATATTTCAAAACTGAATATCAATATTTCATTGCCATAAGGTTAGAGATTTTTGTGTTTTGTTTGGTTTTAATAAAGATTTTTAGAAACATCAAATCTCTTCCAAAATATTTATATTTGGAATTGAAACACTGATCTAGAATTTCTTCCAGGGGAAAAGATTAAACGCTCTCTTCCAAGATTGCAATGGAAACATTGATGGATTTTAACTATAGCAGCACAAGTTAGACTGTCAGACCACTCTGCTTCCAGTAACGCCAGGCAATTATTTTTAGGGTTACAAGCAATGCAGAATGACAGAGCAACTAGTTTCAAAACATTTTTCACAACAAACAGAACAAACTTAGTCTGGCACGGTATTCTCTTCAAAAGCCTTCGGTGGAGTTCTCAAAATGCCAACAGTGATCAAATGCAAAACTACTCTGTTCACGGTTTTGAAATGCACACTTGCCTCGTGCACACATGTACAGCTGGCAGAAAACTCAACATACATGTACCCATCTTCATCTAAACTCGTAATTACAACTGAAGGCTAAGAGCTTCAGTTGTTAAGTTTTTCAGTAGCTTTGGTTTGGTTTTGCTTTTACTTCTTACAATGTTTTTCTCTTAAAATCTTTGTTTTTCTATGTTATGAAGAACTGGAGTTTTGTAAAATCTTGTTACCAGCTGGGCAAAGGTAGGAGAGGAAAATGTGTGCCTGTGTGTAGAGAGAGCAGGAATCCTAACTCTGTCTGCCTGTAATATATAAACACTATGTTCTGAGAAGTTTAAGCTTTTATTTAAACATGAAGACATTCTAGTGCTAGTGGTCACATCCAAACACGATGAGAATGTAAATGGGACTACAGTTGTCTTCCTAAGTTTACAGACAGAAGGTTTTTCACTGCTTCCACAGACACTCATACCTTTACAAGCCTTAAAGGCTTTACGAAACACAGATGCTGGGCATACTGCAACTCTCACAGCCTGCAACTCAATGACAGACAGACAGCCATTAAAGGGCCAGTGACAGCTTAAAGCCATACAACTTAAACATGTTTTTTACATTAAAACTTAATTTTAAAATCTGAATCATTCTTTCCGCTCTGTTCTTCATCGACGACTACTAGTAAAAACTAAATTATAGAGGTCCCTCTGTTGTTCAAAGGGGTTTATTTTTCCAGTTGCTATTGCTGCAAAGGGCTGGTTGGCAGCGCAGTCACAGCGGAGCCTCCTACGCTGACAGCGCACGCCAAGAGAAGAGTTTTTCTGCTGGTGTAGTTGCACCACCTCTCCAAACAACACCAGCTTAGCTGATAAAAGCTCTCTTCTGCCGGTACAGCTGCATCCACACCTGGGCTTTTGCCAACATATTGATGTCAGTGAGGATGTATGACTTTTTTCCACACCCCTGGCTGATACAGTGCTCGCTGGCAAGATATTCTGCAGTGGAGACCTGGCCAAAGTTTGGGGTTGTTTGTTCAGAAACAGCTTTCACAAACATTAACTGAAAGCTTTGCCTAAAACCTGAAATCAAATTTGAAAAGTTTTGTTTTACAAACTGTAGTCTCTGCTGCAAATCCACATCAAAAGCTGTTCTTAAGTTTTTGTCATATGGACCTCACAACAATTTGCAATATTGTAACATACACAAAAACACATTCATTAATTTTTCTTTTTAATCATTGCATCTTAAATTAAAACACTGAACACAAGGATAGGATAAATAAATCTAAGCAAGAGACCATTATTTCTTGGGACAAAATTTCTGTTCACAAGAAATACTACTGTCACACTGGTTTGCCATTTCCTCCTTCGTTTTCACTCCCAAAAGTAATTAGAGACTCTTCTTTCTACACAGCGGTTTCCTTCCTGTCACCTTCAACAAACATCTAAGCAAAAAAGGCCAGTGACAGAATAATCATCCCATCTGCTCTGTGCTGTATGATCACCCCATCCCATTCTGGACCCAGCTGTGAGGAGCTTCCAACACCCTTGCGTGATCTCTGAGGGACCTTCCCTCCAGCCCTCTCCACAGCGCCCCTGCAGCAGTGGGAAAACCACAGGTACTTGTTAGAAAAACGAAAAGCTCACTGGCTGAACAGTCCCCACAAAGTGTCTTAGAATAATAATTGTCTGTCTGAGTTTTCTTTTCAATATAAAACTCAAATGAGACTAATTGCCAGTACTGAAAAACAACTGGAGAATACACTCATACAAACCATTTTTGTCTTTCTTATAAACCACTCTACGCTTAAGGACTGGAAATGAGTCAGAGCAGAATTTTGTCTGCCTAAGAGGAGAGGAATCTCTTTGCTGTCAACAGGGAAAAAAAGACACCAAACCAAAATGGAATAACCCCAAGAAATTCCTTTAACCTGGGGATTGAGAGTTACTGACTGTTGCTGCCTACAGATCAAAGAAGTGAGGAAATTTCAACAAGCAGAAGATAGCTCGGATAACAACTGTCCCAAAACAGAGCATGATCACTATAGTAGCAATCCATTTAAGTCTCTTTGTGTTAGAGACTGTATATGAAGAGCATGTATATGAAGTTTATACAACATGTTGGCATTTAATTATGAGTTTCTTCACTCAGCTAAAATTCCTGATGAGAAAAGTATCGTGATTTTTGACAACAGAGTTAGTTCTTGCAAATCTACTCTAAATTCAAACCATAAATTGCAGCATACATTAACTATCAGATTTAGCCATCATCTCATAATATTACAATCTTGTCACTAGGGTTTTCCTAGCTTTGTTCAGGTGACTAAGCTACAAGGACCTGCTTACCCTGCCTGGCTTAGCCTAACCTCCCTGATTTCCCTAAGTGGCATTTTGAAACAGAACCTTCAGTAACTGGCAGTGACATAAAAATTATCATATATTTTTTGTGTGTGCAACAGTGACAAAAAGTATGAAATTGCATGAATCTGGATTTTTTAATTAAATTGGTAGTTGTTTGTTTCATTTATTTAATAATTACCTAAAACAGAGCTTTACATGCACAATGAAAGCAAGGGCTAAGGAGAACAGAAGATGCCATACCTCGTGAGCAAGACAAGGACACATTTTGTGCACAGCTCAGGAAACGGAAAATTGTTTGGAATTACATCATTTCCCTAGCAGAAAGAAATGGCTGTTCACTGATGAATACAATTGCTTTATCAGCTTTCTTTAAATAAGGAGACATTAAACCTTGATCACCTAATCTAAGCCAGCAAACCGATGGCTGCGGCAGAGATGCCATTTTGAGTGCCTTGCACTATTCTATTTCATGGTTTTCCTGAAATGTAATGGCAAGCAAAACTGAATTTCTGGAGGCCTCTCCAAGTCCAATTCTCAGAGGACGTGAGTCAACCAGTAGAAACTGAAAT